GATAGTGGGAGTATTGGAGAAGGAACATAGCATTAGTGAGGTCAAGGCAGGTTTCCGAAAGAAGAGGGGGTGCGTAGACCACGTATTCACGGTAGGGAGAATCATCCAAGGTAGAAAGAGGGCGGGAAAGCCGACGTACTGCTTCTTCCTGGACGTGAAAAAGGCATACGACACCGTATGGAGAAATGGGTTGTGGAAACAACTGTCCAAATACGGGATCGAGGGGAAAGTGTTGAGAGTGCTGAAGACGATGACAAGATTGTACGAAAAGCGCGGTCATGCTAGACGGAGAACGGTCTAAATTCTTCGACATTGAGCAGGGGGTCCCACAAGGTTGCACGCTGTCCCCAACATTGTTCCAGGTGTTCATCAGCGATCTTTTGGAAGTCGCAGAGGCAGTCAGGAAGGGAGTAAAAGTAGGGGACACGGAAACGTCGGTTTCAGGAATGCTGTTTGCGGATGATTTTTTCGGTATGTCGGACACCCCTGAGGGACTGCAACTGCAAATTGACGCGGCGAAGAAGTTTACTGATAAGTGGATACTGTCTGCCAACGTTCAGAAGAGTGCCGTCATGGTATGCAACGAGAACCAGAAGGAACTAGTAGAAGATAGAGGGAAGTGGGGGATCGGGATTGCAGTAGTGGACCAGCACACATACCTCGGAGTANACGAGATTGCCTGCCGACGTTAAAGAAGAGCGCCGTCATGGTATGCAACGAGAACAAGGAGGGACCAGTTGAAAATAGATGGAAGTGGGGGATCGAGGAGATTGCAGAAGTGGACCAGTGCACATACCTCGGAGTAGAGATCGCAAAAGACTGCTCGTGGAATGCACACATGTCCAAGGTGGCGGAAAAGNGCAAGAAGAAGGAGAAGAAGACATTTGCACCGCCGGCCGCTACCAGCGAGAAGAAGAAGGAAAAGAAGAAGACCGCGGAGGTGACACGCAAGAAAAGTAGTTGTGGTATCGCCCTGTCTCTTATACACATCTAGATGTGTATAAGAGACAGGCCGTGAGGGCAGAATTGGGGATCCAATACGGTCGGAAAGGGATGCGAGGAAGCTGACATACATGGCAGTATCGCATGTGCGGGATGGGAAAGGAAGGTTGCCGAGAATTGTATGGGAGGTGAAGTGGGCAAACAAAAAGAGGGGTAGACAACCCACGGAATGGGTCAAGGTTGTAGAGGACGTCTGGAAGGGGCTCGAGATCGACGAAGATGAAACGCTGGAAACGGACAGTCTACAGGGACTCAACAGGAGGAGCTATATGTTGCTTGTGCCCAGAGAGAACAGAATCTAAGGAAAGAATCCAAGGATGAGGAGGGTCTAGAAGTGTACGGCATGTTGAAGGAAGGAATAGAGTTCAAGGACTACCTACATGGACCAATGGATGCAGGAACAAAGCTTAAGGTCAAATTCAGGACCGGGGACATAGGCCTTCGAGAACGTCGACGAAGACATAGGACGGTAGACGAGGAAGACGACGAGTTCAAATGTGATTGCGGCTTCGAATGCGAAGACCGTGTTCATGTAGTCGCGGAATGTCCGTTGTACAAGAAGGAGAGGGAAGTGTANTAAAGTAGAAAGGAACGATCGACCATCGGTGATCGGTCCTGCGGGAACAATGCTCCGTCCTCTCGAGGACGCGTGGTCAATGGTCTAACCGCTAAGACATGCAAAACATAAGAGTACGCCCCCCNAGGAGGTTGGTTGAAAAGGCGTGAAGGGATATCGTTAGGATAGACAGACTAGGGAAGATATTTTTGAGCCACCTTTGGTAAAGTAGAAAGGAACGATCGACCATCGGTGATCGGTCCTGCGGGAACAATGCTCCGTCCTCTCGAGGACGCGTGGTCAATGGTCTAACCGCTAAGGCATGCAAAGTATAAGAGTACGTTCCCCTTCTATGTGACCCCGTTTGGGTCGTATAGCAGGTAGAAGTGGAGGATGGGGGCCAGAGGGGCAGACGACAGAGCCCAATGATGGGAGACAAAACAAACCCCTTCCTGTGAAATGAAGGGGGATTCCGTTGTTCGTGCCTTGGGTACCTATCCAACGGCATCGTTCGAACGACGCTTAATGCTTGGCCCAACACGAGGATATCCGGGTGAAAAAGACATGAAGCAGCGGTGCCGCCACAAATCAGGCTCCCTCTCCGGTTCGTAGGGTACGTCCTTACTGTTGTTCTTAGTTCTAGTTGGGATCAGATTACACAGAAATGTAAATGTGAGATTCGATTTGTTGGGATGTATCGCAGTGTCACTGGCAAGCGAACCATGATTTCCCCCCCCAAAATGGCAGCGGGCCTACTGCAGCAGAGCGCCAGCTACATGTGCGTCTGCCTACATAAAGGAACACCAAGATATCGAAAACGAACCCTATCATCGGGCAACCCCTCCCTCCCTCCCCAGCAATAGTTTCCTGCCCCTTTCGTGTTCGCTGAAAAGAACAAACATCCCTACGTTCATCCGTGTACGAGAGAAGTACTGCTGTATGGAATCCGGGCCCTCCAAAACAAGAGCTGCAAAAACATGAGCCTGAAGCTCGACGAAGTTGCAACTGAAGCTCCATCAGGCCAAGACGCCTGTGGCTGAGGGTCTCCCAATGTATTTGGACATGGGCATTCTCCAGGCTAGCTTAGGTGAACACGTGTAGCATGGCTGCCCGGCCCGCCCAGCCCAAGGAGAGGCTCCGCATTGTGGGTCGAATTTCTTTGTCCCCTTTGGGAGCAAGGAGGCTACGGCGGTGTCATTGTTTCCATCACCGATATCTCAAGGGAGAGGGACGAGGGGCACAACAACAACGGATACGACGACAGGAAACGACAGCAGACGAAACGGCAAACGACGGTAAATTTGTGGCACTCACAAGGGAGCCAGGGTGCGATCACCACTTGCTTATATCCATATGCATTGACAGCATCATGTTGTGTACAACGGCACGCCGAACACAAGTGCGGACGTAGGGTCCACACAAGCGGGGTGGCTACGCCGGACGGGCAATGCGTCCAACAGCCCATGGAGCAAACTACTTTCTTTCCTTTCCGAAAAGTGCTGCCAACACAATCTACAACAAACGTACAGCAGGAGAGAGATTTAACCTTGACTAAGAAGCGGGGTTGGGATGGTCTTCCGTTCTAGGTACCAATTGCTTTGCCTAAGGGGGGCCAAGCATCGAAATCTTTTGGCATCCCGTGGACACGAAGGTGCAAGCTGAGTACAACCCCGTGGAGTGTGTGAAACACGCAAGTGGCTACAAGAGGCGAGGCACCGCCCACCTAGAAAAAGCGGGAGTGGACTACTGCACGAGATATGATCACATTCTGTCGAATTGGGCGCGTGGAGAGGGTAGCTCACAACCTCCAACACTTGAGGATGAATCACGGCCACAGTAGTACGTGCGACGATACTTGAAGAGAAAAAAAAGGCACGTCACGGCAACCAGCACGCAATTCAAAGGGGGGAATCACTACGGAGCCAACTTCATTCTCGTACTCCTTGCATTTCCCTCGCGTTCACCCTACGCCCCTGCGGTGGCGACTACCAATCGAATCGCGGCAAGATTGCTTGAATTGGATTGGGTATTCTCAGACTCCGTCCCGTCCGTGTTGACAACTTTCTGACGAACTCGATGACGCTTGCGTTTACTCTGACCCTTACGGTAGCGCTGTGCCCACGAACGGCTGTCGTTGTTCTGTAACGGGGTCGCGAAAAGGTACTTAATCGCGAAAAGTTACTTCAAGATATTCGTGCTCATGTGCGGGGTGGGGTCGACAATACAGACAAGAAAGGTCGGTTCTGGGATGTTGTGCGAAACAGAGCAACTCTAACGCCAAGACCTACAAGTGAGGGTGCCCTCCACAGCCACAATGGGTGCATGCTGATGGCCGATAGGGCACTACAGCAGTAGTGAATGCATAGGATCCCACGATCCCGACAGACCGGGTGCTACCAGGGCGAGAGACTCTCGCGCGCAACAGAGATAAAGTCATAGGCAATGTAAATCGTTGTCATCAAATGTCACTTGTACCTGGTGGGGGTAGAGCTGGCTGATCGCCGCTTGTCTCCTCACGATCTCGAGCTCTCGCTGCCCCTTCTTGAAGGCTGCCTCCGCCTCCTCCGGTGCAAACCCTCTAGCTAACTCGAACCCTCTTCTCGCCCTCCTCAAAGCGTACTCCCTGTAGTTGTAGTCCTGCCCGAGGGGGTGCGTTGGGAACAATCGGCCGGGCAATGGAATGAAGATGTCCAGGGAAACATGTTCAGCGTTTGATCTGTACGGACAGATGAAGGTACCGGGTACAGCAGTGAGAGATCGGAACGGTTAATTAACGTGAAAGACAACGACAACCAAAATGTCGACGAACACACCGCGTCGAGGATGGGTTTTGCGAATACTCTTCAAGCGTGATGTGACGGTAATTTTTTTCTGCTGCAGTACAGCAGTAGAACTTCGAGCGAGAAAACGCAACAGCGAGAGGACGAGAGGACCCTAGAGTGAATAGAAGTCCCCTGCGCGTCGTTCAGTACCGCGAAGCCGCCAGTGTAAGTGTAAAAGGCAAAGGGTGAAGGGAACGCCGAAAACGTGATGAAAACGATCAAACGTTCACACCATCACACCGCCGACCCCGGGCCGGGGAAGTCCACGACAGCAATAATCGTGCGGAAACGTATCACATGAAAAGCATGCAGGGTAAATCGTCCCTGCCCGCCTTCGCGAAACGCAAGAGCATTCATGGGGAACGGCACGCGGCGCAATAAGTAGATAATAACAAGGCACTGCAGCTGGAATTCTATGCACCACTTTGTAGACACGAAGAGACACAACGCAGGAAAGGCATGTGCACGACTTGCGAACACAGCGGAGCGCGGGAGTGTTGAAAATATATCCGTTCGAGTCAAAACCACAGTAGTAGTATTTGAAGGTGATATGTACGTCGGCGATGTAACTGTACAGCAGTAGCGTTCGAGAGCTCTCGGGGCTCAGGGCTTGAAAGAGTTCGTGCGGTCGAACTACAATAGAAGTTCAACATGCGTACATATGTGTATCAATAAAATAAAATAACATCACCGGTGGCCAATTTTTCAGAGTACCCTACACAACTCTCGAGCCATTTCTTTCGCATCAGTCGACCATGTCGTCATGAACTGGCGAAGGCCTGAGTTGCCGCGTGGCCGTACCCCTGTATTTTTTTTTTTTTCTCCCATTATTGGACTCTGTCGTCTGCCCCTCTGGCCCCATCCTCCACTTGTTCTAGCTAGACGACCCAACCGGGGTCACATAGGAGGGGGATTTGGACCCCATCCTGCGGTTCCTGTCTGAGATATTTTTATCGCGAGAAGGGTTCAGCAATCCCTTCCCTCGAAACTAATGAAGTCGATCGATGTACCGCCGTGTGTAGACCACACCTTGGACGATAAGTCAAAAACTATCTAGATAAGGATAAGTTCCTATCGCCGTGTTGTCTTATCGGTCCAATTTGATAGGGTTTGATACACCCACGGGGTGCATATTGGTGCATCCTGACCGGCTGCGGCAGGAATTTCCAGCACCTGTTTACGGCCTCGAAGGAATGCGATAGGTTTCTGCCAAAGCCTATCGTAGCGCGCAATTTTTATCGATAACTTTTAAGGACAGCCTATTGGTTGAGCAACAGCCTGCGGTGTACGTGGTAGTCCGCCTATCGTTCAGCACAATTGTTATCGATATGCATTTGCCACTTCCCTTCTAATGAAAAGATAAGTATCGATTGCCGACTGCCCAATCCCTTCGCGTGACATGATGGCTATCGACAGATTGTTCACCGGCATATCGTACCGGTGAACAACCCATCGACAATCTCACATGTCAGTCACATACATGAACAATATCACCTACCACCTACCACGCATATGCAGCCGCGATTATCACATCGGATCCGGGCCAACTGGCCAACAGATTCAAAAAGATTCGCCGAGCGATGGGATAATGGGCAAATCTTACATAATTCAAAAAAAGTTTCGCCGACCGCGATGGGATAATCGGAAAATCAGCGAAGTGCGGTAATTTTTGCCGAACAATCACACGAAAAAAGTTTTGCCGGACAGGCGATGTCGCGTGGTCGGGTTAGTCCTGCATAAAAATTACAAAAAACATCTCTTGGAATTTGGAGTCTTCCAATCTTGATTTTTCGATCCGTTGGGCAAGTAGCGGGGCGATGATTCCCACCGCCCTCAACCCTATCACACCATCACACATTTCCACACGCGATGGGCGATCGAGGTGATGATGGCCACGAGTCTGGTCCGCAGCAACGCACCACGCCATCTCCACAGCCTAGTGCGCAGCAACAATCGATCGCCAGCTTTCTCAATACCGGCTCGGGCGGCGGCGGCGGCGCCTCGGGCGGCGCTTCGGGCAGCGGCGGCGGCGGAGATGGCCGCGGCCCGGAACCGCAAGCCTCCGCACCACAGGAGACTGATGTACAAAAATTGCAGTTTCCCGCACAAGTACCGGCCGATGTGAAGGCTGCTGTCCTCGTCTACCGGCCGCCGGATGGATATGCCATCAGCGCCATCCACAACGTCAAGGGCAACCCGAGCTTTATTTCCTTTTGGGGAGTGCGGATCCACACCACCCACACCACATCGGCGGGAACGAAGAAAAGGAAGAACTTCTACAAGTGTATGGCCAACCATACGTGCCGCTCTAGCGTCAAACTACTGGCTTTGACGGGGTCGACCACGGGAGCCACGGAGCACTTGAAGAAGGTGCATGAGATCGAGAGTCCTTCCAGCGCCGACGATAAGAAGAAGTAAGTGCGTTCGTTTCGATATTGGTTTTCATGCTGTCGTAAAGATGTAAGATACAACAAACAGCAGTAGTAGTACAGATTTTACATGTATGTGTCGGGGAACCGCCGGGGGAATCTTGTGTTTCAACACCCGAGTTCTTATTGTGTGGTCGCCACGGTCATCGGTGTGTCTTGTGTCTTGTGAATGCGTTGGCCGTACTAAGGGAGAGCTACAATCGCTTGAGTTGCTGCGGAGTTACGCTGAAACGAACACGCGCCGATCGTCCTCTGCTTATCATCTTGCTTGCAAAATATAATGCAGGAAGCAGGAGACGTTGGACAAGATCGACCAGGTCAAGCAGAGCAAAATCTACAACTCCGACAAGGCTCGCCACAACATGCTCGGCTTCACGAAAGCATTCGTCGTCTACAGCGCCTGCTCTTTCAGGCTGGTAGAGCAAGAGCCAATCCGCCATTGCCTCGGAGTGATGGTCCCGAAGGATGAGCTCGAACCGAACCGTCTCAACAACAAATCGGTAAGTCTATTGAGTTCATGAGTCTCTGGGGGTCGTGTGTGGTGGTGGGTGGTGTAGTGTGGTGTGCTGCGGACCAAAAGTGCCCCTTATACCTTGGATGATAAGGCTAAGAATAGGATCGATCGCCGGCGATAGGGTAGGTTTTACGACCTATCGATAGGAATTGCCGCCCGCAATAGGTACTAGACACCGCTCGTCGATGCCTATTGAAGAAAGAGATAGCATTCGGAGACACTTGTCGATATCCTATGGTGTGGATCAACGTAGCAGCTCACACGGTGATCAACAGCTATCACCGGAGAAAACAGGGTGCGGCGAAACATCTCGGTCGGTTGTTGTGCGTTCAATAGGGTCTTATGGCTGGTCATCAACACCCATCGTAGGAAACCAATCGCTTGGCAAAGAAACGGTCGACGCTGATCGCACCCCTCGATGCTCATTCTAATTGACATGTCGATCCCCATCAGTCGACAACGATCCCCATCAGTCGAGAACAATAAGATCCCATCACCCATCACCTGGAATCCTGTCATCGTTCAAGTGTTTAGGCTCATCGCATTAATACACGTGATCACAGATGCGCCCCCGGCATTGTAGGCGGGTGTGGGCTTTTTGCTTCTCGGCTGGTCGGCGCTACCCTATCTTCCCTTACTCCATGTGATATCTGTTTTTTTTTCTACTTTATATTTTCCCGTGTACTCTAGTTTTTGATGTACTGCTGTAGCGCCAGCGAGCAGGCCCCTCGGGGCCCAGTTTGTTTTTCTATCGCAGGGCACGCATATGATGCACTGCCCCACTCGATCACCCTGATTGCGTACAAAAAAAACACATTATTATTTGAGAATATGTTTGACGTTTATTTTTTGGTCTTGGTAAACAGAAGTGCGTTTACTCCGTAATATATTATATATATATATTTTTTTATTATTTTTGTTGTTTTGCAATGCATACAAAAATACTATGTGTACTTCGTATAAGTTTTTTATTTTTTTATTTTTTGGTTTTGGTCAACAATACTACGAAGATATTGTATGTAAGTTTTGTTTTTTTTTTGGTTGAATTTAATTATTTTTTTGTGCTTTTGGAGGACAAGTTTTGCGTTTTTGGCCCTTGTTCTTTTATTTGTTTCTTCTGCGGCGTTGAAAGTGCCCAGTTCTTGTGACGACGGGCTCCCACGCATGTATTGGGATATATAGCTCATGTGAGATTTCAAAATAAATAAAAAAATAAAATAAAAAATAAATAACGCACAATCACACGCGCGAGCAACACAGCTATCTCTGTAGACTCTTCAATGTGGTTGTCACGTTCACTGCCGTGCTGTGCTCTGCAGCCCCTCCCTCCCTCCCTCCCTCCTATCCTTCAGCACCACACGCCACCACCATGGGCTTGCCTTGTCCATCACCTCCGTTCAAGAATGGATGGGCGACGTTGCGTTAGGCAGCAAAATCAACCCACAAGAAGCTATTGGGCCTTTCGGGCATCGTTGTTTGTTTTCTCCCCCCCCCCCCACACCCCTGCTGCTTCTTGTGTGATCGCGGGCTGGGCTAGAACAGTCTCTTGGTAACACAATTTAATGCTGCTGTTTTGTTGCACGGGCTCATCGTGTTCGTGGCAGGTGAAGAAGATGATCGTTGAGATGTACAACGCCACACTGAAGGTTGTCAACAAGGACTTGCAGCGACAGCTTGCCCTTGCGATCATCCCGATCTTGTACGCGAACTGTGACATTTGGACAACCAAAGTGTCCGGAGAGAAGTTTATCGGTGAGATATTTACAATGTGTTTAGCATGATGTTCTCCGAATGGTTGGTGCTGCCCTGGTACATGGGAAGGATAAAAGCTGCATTTTTTTCACGATTTTTTCAAGACCAACTAGCTGCAGCGACGTTGTTCTGTAGGACGTGCTGAGTGTGGAATTCATCTGTATCGAATCACTTACCCCCGCGTTCGGTAGGCGTGTTAGGCAGGATGGGGGAATTTGTGCCTTCCCTAAATATTTCTTCTAGTCGCCTTTCGGCACGAGGTGTGTACACAAACCGGACAGAGTCTGCAATAGATTTGTGTTGCAACTACTTCGCACGTTTCAACGGCGCTCAAACCACCCTTCCCGCGCCAAATCTCCCTATGATGGTGCTGAATTTCGTGTCAACTCTCGACGCAGCTGTGCGCATCTTCTACATCGACTCGAGCGGGTTTCTGAGGACACACTTGTTGGCGGTGAAGCTTTTCCGGCCGGCTCCGTCGCTCGGGAAGGTCACTGGCAAGGTGGTGCTGAAGTGGTTCCTGCAGGTGCTGGGCCAGCACGGGATACCGATCGAGCGCTTGGCCGGCGCCGTGACGGACGGCGGGGGTGACGTCCGGACCGGAATCGGCCAGGTAGCTACGCGGGCGTGGTGTGGGCCGCACATGCTCAACCGCGTCATCATCGACGGCACCGGCATGGCCAACACAGCAAACCAGTCCAAGAATCTGTCGTGCCGCGGCTTGATGGAGATCTGCAAGAAGGTCGTCCAACATGTCAACAGATCTCAGGGGTTCAAGGTGAAGCGACTCTCTATTTGTCGGGTTGCACAACTCTGCTTGTACTGCTTCAGGGTTATGACTCAGGGTTAGGTAGAAGCCTTGCGATATTCTTCACTTTCCCTATTCTCATCGGTTCCCTTTCAACCCGCCATGCCGAAATACCGATGTGCGTTGTTGGCGATGCCCCGCTTTGAATGGCAGATCGAACTCGAGGACACGCTCGAGAAGGCGTCCGACGGCAAGCGTTGGAAGGCGAAGCTCTCACAAGCGGTGTCCCAGCGCTGGATCAGCCTGTGCAAGATGTTGCTCCGCATCCTAGAGCAATGGGTCGCCATCGACAAGGTCTACGCCAGCAACCGCGAGAAATTCCCTTTGGGAGATCTGCGCCGTGAGGTCAGCAGGGTCCATGTGTTCGGAGGCTTGGAATTTTTGTTTTTTCTCGTATTGTTTTTCGGGAAAAGGTGGCCCGGGCTCTTGCTGTGTCCGCTAGAAACCAAGTACACCAGCTTATGTAGGAGGAGATGACTTCGTATCACGCATCAAAGTGTGTTGCTTTCGAGGTCAATGACTCCCACGTTCCCGCTCACGTGGTATTCAAGCTGTGTGGTGTGTATGTTGCCCTTTTGGGTTTTGGTAGGCGCGGTGGGGGAGCGCCCCCGGGAAAAATTATGCTGAAGACGAACGCGAGGCACATGATTCCATACCGCTGAAGAATATGCTGTTGCCCTCCTCGTTGCACGGTACGTGCCGCGTCGCATTTAAAAAGCCACTTTCTCCCCCCGTCTCTATATTTTATCCCTTCTCAGATGGAGGAAGTTTACAGCATGCTGAGCGAGTTCAAGGCCGTTATCGAGTACTCCCAGACGACGCACGAGGCCACTGCGCAGAAGGCGCTGGAGATGACTGTGGATCTTCTCACCTACACCCTCGACCCCGCGGAGCGTCTCCGAGTGTACCACGTCGTTTCTATCGGAGCGGAGGGCGACACCACCAAGTACGACGACATCGAGCACGAAGACCTCACGCCGATTGGCCGCAACACACGTGTCGCGTTGAGGAAAGCACTTGTGGCACGGTTTTTGCCGCGCTACGGCCGCGAGCTTGACGCTGGCGGCCACCTCTTTGACCGCACGATGCTTCTCAGTCCAAACCAGAGGAAGCTGAGGTACGTGGACGCTCTGCGCTCTTCAGCTGCCAAGGAGGGCGACATGCGGTCCTCTAGCGCCATCAAGGCGAAGATCAAGGAGGAGGTGACCGACCTCCTTGTCGCGGCCATCGAAGCGATTAGAGCAACGGCACCATCGGACGGGGGGGTGGAGAGCAGTGCGGGAGGGGGGCAACCGCAGGCCAAGCGGGCTAAAACCACCTCTACCGCAGCGTCCAGCGCCTCCGGTGACGGAAACGATGACCACCGGCGCCGGCGGCGCCGATTTTTAGACGACGACGATGAAGGCAGCGACAGCGACATGGACGCGACTCCGGTGGAGGAAGACCCCAGGAAGGAAGCGGAGGCCATGATGAAGGAGTGGCTCGCAGCTCAGGTGACAATTGCATTTGCGCGTGGGTTGTGGTTGTGCGGTCCGCCTCGGCGACACAGCTTGTATGCGGAACTACGGTGCCCCAGGTGGCAGTTGTGTGAGGAGTTGGTGATAATGATTGAAGCAAGTTCAGACCAGCCCCTCTCACCCACCCGTACGTGGTGGTGCCCATCGGCTTCATGTAAACACAAACGAAAACAAGCTTTCCACATACATGTTCAACAGGCGCGGCCGTGAAACCTTCTGTCTCGGTGCTTCAAAAGCACTGCTCTCTACGTGTTTTCCATCTTGTGGCTCGGTGAAATAGAAATCATATGGTTTGACTTGCACTCAAATACCCGAGTTGAGTGCCTATTTGTTTGTAAGAAATTCCATCTCTATTTCTCAGGAGGGCATCGACCCTGGTTTGTTCAACAGACGTCTCGATAGTATTTTTCTGTTGCGATCAATCCACGGGTTTGACTTGAAGCGCGACGGCCGTCTCCGCACTTTTATGCCCCAAGATTCAACGCTCACGATCAATGTTTTCGCACCCATGCAGATTCCACCAGAAGAGCGGACGGAGAACGGAGCAGAATACTGGCGCCTTCACGGCAAGAAACACCCCTTCGCTCTCCGATTGGTCGCGCAGGCGGTGTACGGCGTCCCTGCCTCAGCGGGTGTGGTGGAGCGAGATTTTAGCATCGCGGACTTGTTCATGCCCCGCAAGCGTGCCTCGCTTGATCCAGCGTACTTGGAGATGCAGCTCTACCTGCGAGCGCACTTCGACAGCATCCCCATGGACATCCCCAAGCTGGACGACGCTTCCGTGGCGGCCGCCATCCCGGACCGTTTCAGGGACCCACAGGCCGTCGAAGAGGTGCGGGTGTTGGACTTCACCGAGGAGGAGAAGGAGGTGGGGGTTTTCGACTTCGTGCCGGATGAGGAGGGGGACTTCGTGCCGGATGAGGAGGGGGAGGACGCCGAGGGCCCCGAGCCGAACGTGCCCGTGCCCCCTGTCGGAGAAGTGGGGGGGGGGGTGGCTCCAGCGGCTGGAGACGGGCAATCCACCACCAACTAGACACATTCCACCAGTTTTGCGCTCAAAGCACGTGGTTCAGGGTTTATTTTTTCTCTCTACGGAAGGGTACCATTTGTACCACGCCATGGACGATTGGATAGACGATAGGCCTTAAAGACTTGTGGCTGTGCTTGGTATCTGCATTTTTTCGAGGTTGCTCGCGTTGAAATGCGCTAAAGCTCTAAAGAGTCCAAGGTCACTTGGCACGTCGGTGGTGTTACGATAAGCGGTTTCTTGTTTCTTGTCGAAAATCCGCCTCTATCCGATCCGAAGCTATCAACAAGCGGGCGCCCATATCGCCATCACGAATAGTTACTGATAAGCAGGCACCTAACATATCGCCAGCACCAATAGTAACCGACAAGCAGGCGCCCAACATATCGCCAGCACCAATAGCTATCGATATGTGCGAGTCGAACTTATCGCTTTGTCAATCGATGTCGAACCCCAACCCGATATATCGAGGGCGGCAATGCCTATCGATGTGGACGTTGTTTTATGATTGACCTCTGCGACAGGCATCGATAAATTTGGCCGCATCTTACTGGTCATAATGATGCCCATCGATGTGTTCGCGTGAAACCTATCGTCCAGAACGAAACAAGCCGATCACTTAGCTCCCAGCCCATCTAGAGTCGACAACAGGCATCGATGCGCGCTTCCAAAATCTTATCGCGCCCACCAATCTCCATCGATATGACTTGAATAAAAGGAGCATATTCCGTGATAATTATCGATGTGTAGATCTCTCATCTTATCTAGGACTAAAATTCATATCGATTTGCTGATGGTTCAGCTATCGGTGGGGCGATAAGGCCTATCGTCTATCCAATCGTCCATGTCGTAGACTCTGTACATCCGGGAGAAACAACAAAAAATACGCCGACAGCAGCTATTCTGGCGGCATGTTTTCAGTCCGGCCATTACCCACAACACGCATCCTGAGAATGCGCCAAACACGAACTCCCTGTGTACGGTTCAGGAACGAGCATTCAGCGTACGGCAGTAGCGGCAGACACTGAGACACTGCTTGCTGCTGTTGCCCATGTCACATGCGTGCGGTGTGCGGTGTTGATTTTCTACGATATCTGACGGCAACGCTCACCATCAGCAGCGCCCCCTGGCGCCGTAGCCCCTTGTACAGTCCCAGCACCGCGGTTCGCGATGGCTGTGCCATGAAAAAATGAAGGGGCACGTGTTTGTCTGTCTGTTCCTCTCGCTCGCCCTGCCTACCTCGGTTACTGAGCAAGCTGGCTGGTACTCTGACAGGCAGAGACAGCAGATGGGAGAAAATCAGAAAAAAAAGAAGAAAAAAAAAGAAGGGAGGTCGGGGCTCCGCCGTATCATTTTTTCCACCGCAGTAGGCAGGAGAGATGATGGGATGTCTACACAGAGAAAGCGGTGTGACCTGCACCTACTCTCCACACACGGCACGAAATCGAGATTGTGAAAAGCGTAGGGGACAATAGGGGACAATAGGGGACAATGGCTCAAGAAAACGGCGGGTCGGTTCCAATCGCGGGAGGAGAAGGAGGTGTCGGCGTGGTTTCCGAGCGGCAGCAGCAGCAGCAGCAGCAGACTTGCCCGCACCGGGAAGCAGCCATCAGCATGCTGCCCCCAGCCGACCCCACCGACGGCATGTCCTGCGACTCGTGCAACAAGGACATCAAGTTCGTGAGTATGCAGGGTGCGGGGTACCAAGGGCGTATCGGGTACGTGGGTACGCAGGGGCTTGTTGGCGTGTGAAGGCAGGAGCTTCAAAACTGGTTTGTACCCCCCCGAGTGAAGTTTTTGGGGTGAACCAGTGCGTTACCGGCCATGGCGAGCGACTTGCTGTTTATGGGTTTGTTGGCGTGATTGTTCCGCACCAGTCAGGCCTGTTCCGTCCAGACTCCCTCCATCCCCTCTTGAGTTGTCATGGCGTGAAGGGATTGCGCTTTCACGGGTGCGTGTCTCATGGTTTCATCTTTCAAGAGTATTCGTGCATCTCACCAACAACGCAGTCTGCAGTCTGCAGTGAACAAAGGTTGGTGAACCACTTGCAGCAGTAGACTTGAGCAGACTCCGTGAACATTCCAACCGGTGTCCAGGCACGGCTGCTGTAGGAGGAGGAGAGAGATACAGGTCTCGCGCGCACAGGTAGCATAGGAGGTAGGCAGCCTGTTGAGTGCGGCAGAAGCTCTGCCTTGAACTTAGCGTTTCGTGCCCAGATATCAGCCTCCAACCCCAACGGCCTGGCTCTGCTCGAAAGGCCTTGATTGGTGTGGTGTCCGGGGCCGGGTGTGCCTGTCCCTTGGGCTCAATCCGTGTGCAAGTTACACTTGTACTGGCAAACGTATGTGTGTATGATGCGGTCTATATACTTGGATGTCTGTCGTGTTTTCGGACTTCCATCCTTTGGTGTTGCCACGACTGACATGTCAAGTATACACCGGCTGGTGTAGATTGACTCCAGGGTATATCTATTTAGTCTACGCTATATCCATGGGACGAACCGACGAAAACATTGCTATGTTGTACGAAGGACAAATGTGATGATGCCAAGCCACGTGACCGGTCGCAAATTGTGGAACGTATGAATGTCGATCCGATGTGTGGGACGTGGCTTGGCATCATGCATGTATCGTGGAACGGCATTTCTTTTGAATTGCGGACTTTCACCACTAGCTGTACTGCTGTACGTCCCCGATGTGTACATGAGGTGTTGCGCCAGTGACAGGAATCGATCTCATGCATCGCTATGTTAGACGGCCGTATGTGTGTGTGTCGACGGTTGCAGAACATCGGGCGAACCGCTGTACCCACACCACAACTGATCTCGGTACGAAGGTACACCCACCGACCACAGATACGACGCGACATTGATATCTTCTCGCGTACGAGCGAGAGTTTGTGTTTGCTTTTTTGGTCTTCACTTCAAGTCGGTGCTCACAGCACTTGTGCCGTTGAACCCCGTACCGGCTCTCCTGGGGCTGTTTGCTTTCGATTTTAATAGATACTGCTGTAGTGTTCGCTTTTTTTATCGTTTCCGTTCCCCCCATGCAACCCCTCTGCCTGTGCAAACACCCGCTCCTCGTTCGGTATCCTACCCCCCTGTGGTATCCCAGCTGTGCTACATTCGGTGCGCGGAGTGCAAGGACGTGGTGGACCTGTGTGTGAGCTGTTTCTTGAGCGGGAGCGAGCCGCGTCACCACAAGAAGACCCACAGCTACAGAGTCATGGACAAGCTGCACAAGCCCATCTACTCAGGTCCATTGACTACATGCATGTAAAGCTGGCAACTTGAATATCCAGTGGAACTGCCCATGCGGTGGCATCAAAATCTCTTGTCACAACGTCAACATGAACATGTATGATACATGAACCCAATATGTCGAATAGTGGCACTGCCCTGAACAGTGGTTTTTTGTCTTCTTGCCCCTAAATGCCACTGTATCACTATGTCGGGCCACCTACTGCATGCCACCGGGCCGTTAAAGGAGAGAGCACCGGAAAGATATATCCCGAAAAGAAATGCAGCCCACATCCACCTGAAATGGGTGGGAGAAATGAGAGCCCGAAATATCGGAATGGTGGCCTGTCAGTAGTCCAACAGAAATCTGGCGCTTGGGGAAATGGAGCGATCCCGGGAAAATTGTGAAGTAAATGAGAAGCGTTCCATGTAGGTCACCGGGCCGTCACCCGGTTTAGCAGGAGACACCGGCAAGGATAGTTACAGCAGCAGTCCTTGGGTTGTAGTCCACGCGAAGGTTTTGGGAGGCGTGCTGGTGACAGCAGCGCCGAATAGACTAGACTGCGGCACAAGACTCTTGCGGAGCTTCCCTTTTTCTGTGTGTCACATGTTGTTGACACCATGTGCCTGTACTCTTGCAGCATGATGGCGAAACATCGAAACGTCGAGTGTGTCTTCCATCATTTGGTGTCGACACAAATGGTTGCGGCAGCAGAAGAGCCATGTATCCACGACATATTTGTTGATCGGACGTCAAACCTCGCGTCTTCTCTCGTCATGATTTCGATAAACGAAACCACACACTCCCACAATACACCACGCCACTCCACCCTACATCACCACACGGCACAACACGCAGAGGGCTGGACCGCAGCCGAGGAGCTTGCCCTTGCGGATCTCACGCGGAAGCGGGGCTTGGGAGCGTGGGAAGAAATCGCTGATCTGGTGAGAGTGAGAGAGGGCAGGTACCCTGCCTGTTGTTCTTGATGAGTATACTCCGGAGTGCATGACAAAACATGACGACATCAGTTGGGCCAACGTTGCCCGTTTAATTTGCAGGTTGGGCCGATGTTTTGTGTGCGTGTTTGCGTTTGTTCTTCCATTCCCTGTGTGTGTACTATGTGGCGTAGGTCGGGCTGGACTGGGAGTGTCTTAGTTGGATCTGAACGAGATGTGATATTCCATGCGCCCCCTTGCAACATGTCCAAGAAACACGAGAATTATTGGAAGACTCCTATACGCATGCCACATTGGAAACCCCGCATATGGCGGACACAAGCAAGGATGCGTGTAAACCTCTATTCTCTCCACTCCCCTCTTTAGCCCTCCTCCCTGCACAAGAAGTAATTAATTTTCTTTCGACGGTTACGTTCGGAAACAAACGCCGCCGTCCAGAAAATGTTCTACCGCCGCAAGTCCGAGAAGGAGCTCAACGCCCGCTATCTGGACACGTACCTGTCAACGTACGACTCGGTGCTTCCCCCTCACTACCTTCGTGAGAGAGAAGACGGCACGGTGGAGAAAGTGCCCATCCCCCCGACTCATCCGGAGAGGTGCCCCCCCGCCTTACGAGGGGTCAAGGTGAGGTTTGTGATTCACACGAGGGGATTGTTGGAGGAGAATCGGGTTATGGTGGTTTTTGTGGAGTTGTTGTTGAAGGAGGGTCGTGTATTTGCAGTTTTTGTGAAGGCGCCATTGAAAAGTGTTCGCAGTTTTTGTGGAGATGTGGTTGAAGGAGGGTCGTTTGATTGCAGTTTTTGTGGAGATGTTTTTGAAAAGCTATTTGTTTGTTCGCAGTTTTTGTGGAGATGAGGTTGAAGGCGGGCAGTTTTGTTTTATTTTTTGGTGTTTGGTGGAGATGTTGTTGAAGGAGGGTCGTTCGTTAGCAGTTTTTGTGGAGGTGTTTTTCAAGGAGGTGTTATTGGCAGCTCCTACGTATGTTGTCGTTAGGGATAATTGTCGCTGCAAGGGTTGCGCGGTGTAGCCCTCTTCTTTAGCCAAGGCAATCAACGAATAGAGTACCCCCTCCCTCATGGTCCAACAACAATGGCATGCAATATATAACATGAGCGCCCCCTCGAAACCGCCGTCCTTGCTTCCTTCCTTCCTTCATTCCTTTCATTCTTCCTTGGTTTAGCTGGACTCGACGGAGGTACGCAGCCGCACCATCGCGGAGCTGGGCACGAACCCCCGTTACCGATATGAGCCCTCCTGGCAGGCGCTGGCCAAGAAGCAGGAGATGGCGAAGGCTGTCGCTCGGGCTGCTGCCGCGGCCGCAGGTATGTGGAAACCTCATGCCGCATGTTTGCTGCTCTTGTGGGCTGTCGTTTCGGAGACCCTCTAAGGATGGTTGGTCTTGATGCAAGTGGTGTTGTTGCTGTTGGTGGTATTTTCGACCTGTCCGTCTGTCGGGCTGTTTGTTTTTTTTGGTGAAGAAGAGAGGCGGTCACGCGGCACGCAAGCACGTGTTCCCTCCTCTCGCTGTGTGTTCGTTGTGGCTAGCGTTGTCATTTGCTGCTACTGCTGTGTTGTGGCCGTGGTTGCCGGCGATGTGTCTCTTAGTGCTGCTTGAGGCGAACCCTAGTGTGATGACACCAGCACACAAACACCGCTTGCGCAACAAATGTACCCTACCAACGATGCAGGGAACGTGGACGGAAGTGACGGCACCCCCACCACCGGAACCAGCAGCAGCAACTGCGCGGGCGGGAGTGGCGGCGGTAGCAGCGCCGGTTCTGATGGCGGCAGCGGCGGCGGCGGCGGAGGTGTTGCCACGGGAGGCGAAGAAGGCAACAATGCTGGCGGGGGGGCTGCTGCCGGGGGGGGAGGGGGCGAGATCGAAGAGGTGGCTTCGAAGACTACGAACAACAGGAGGAGGAGGCGCAGGGTGGCCCAGGTAAATGGAACGTAATGTACCGTACGGTAGGTTGCATAGGGTATCTCACCCCCTGGACCGATTTTCAAAGCTCGGATCACTCCCCAGCAGAAAAAAACAGCGGCGGTGCCGAAGATGTCGGCGTTGGAACCGTCTCGTCGAGAGGTT